AAGCCCAACCGTGGGCGATTCGTCTGCTCTTGTTTCACGGTCATCTTCTTCCTCTGCTTGTTCGCAGCAATTAACGAAGTTCGATTCAGTAGCTTACTGAGGTTGGGTCGATGTGCTCTCTCAAACGAAACTGCACCCACAGAAAACCAATCAGAAGACCTTAGAATCCTGATCTCCGTTCTGACCCTCCCCGACCAGTACCTACGACGACACTTCCTGCGCCTCGTGTACGGCACGCAAACCTGGGAGGGAGCGAGAGTGGATGTGAAGTTCGTGTTCTGCAATCTCACAAAAGAGGACCAGAAAGTGATGGTGGCGATGGAGATCATGCTTCACGACGACATCATCATCCTGAACTGCACCGAGAACATGAACAGGGGCAAAACGTCGACGTTCTTCACAAGCCTGCCGGAGATGTTCAACGACACGAGCGGTGTGGGACCCTACCCTCCCTACCACTACGTGATGAAAGCGGACGATGACACGTACGTGAGAATTCACAGTTTGGTGCGGTCATTGAGGCCGTTGTCGAGGGAGGATTTATACTATGGGTTCGTCATACCCTGTGGTAGCATGGACCCCTTCAAACACTACATGTCTGGGATGGGGTTTGTGGTGTCCTGGGACATCGTGGAGTGGATCCATGGCTCTGATATTCCGAAGAAACACGTGGAGGGCCCAGAGGATAAGGTGTTCGGAGATTGGATGCGATGGGGTCGCCGTGGAAAAAATAGGTACAATGCTAAGTGGTCTATGTACAACTACCCTGATCCAGCCTCCGTGTGTAGTCACGAGCTTTGGAACGACACTATTGCAGTTCATTTGTTGAAGAATCAAGAGAAGTGGATTCGGACTCTCTCCTTTTTCAACCACACCCATTCTTTGAAGCCGTCCAAGTTATATCATATACCTTAGTTTAGTGATCTTCATTCTCAACATTTCGTTATTTTATTTTTTTTATATATATTATGATAGTAATAATTAATGTTACAATATCTGATTTCATTTTTGGGGTCTTTATAAGCTATGTGGTGTTTTGTTGAAAAACAGAATAGAGGGAACGTTATTAACTTGCAAGGTGCGATTTTTTCTTGATTTGTTGTTTCTACATGCAATTTTGAACGTTCCTGGTCTATGATTGTTGTGGAACAGAGGGTGGTGGTGAATTTGAGTTTTGAAGGATATTGTAATGGACCTAACAAGAGAAAGAAGTCAATTCAAATGGGGAAACAGAGTCGGTGAAGCGGGGATTTTCTTTTCATTTCTTCCTAACATGGAAAAATATCACGTACGATCGATTGGACTGCATCCATGCTTCTCTAACAATTCTAATGTCTACACTTGTGCTCCCTATTTCCTAACTATTACATTGATTAAAAAAGGCTCGTCCGAGTGTTGGACTTACTGTTGTCCAGTTAAAATTACCTTATTTTTCTATCATTTTCATTATAATTATTGCTATCCCTATTAATAAGTTTTATTTATAGTTTTGGTGAAAAAAATTTCTCCATCACATTTATTATTAATTACGGTTAAATATACATTTTCCTACTATATCTACATAGATATCATACTAAATCACATGACCAATCATTCAAGTTTAGCCATCATAATTAAAATCAGTTAATTATATAATTAATCTAAATATATCAATAATCAAATTTAAAGAAATTTGAGTCGTGATTAAGTCCGTATACATAAAACTATAAATATAAATCAAATTGTTAATTTGAATTGATTTTAATATCGCAACACATTTAATATATTTAATGGATTGGTTGAATAACAGTTCATCCTAACACAAATAGGTTAGTATTGAAACAAACAATCTAAAAAGTGTTTAAGTGGACATTCAACCTTATATTTGAAACATCTGATATAAAAGTTGAAGAAAAAAACAACAACAAATATATGTAATAAGTTATATCATTATTAATTTTACTATCACTCCTATAATTATTAAAAATACGTCACTAATCCTATTAATATTTTTACTATTCACACACTATTGTAATTCTTTTTACTTTGTAGAGTTATTATGAATTTGTTAAAATAAAACTTTTTAAGAAGATGAAAAAAAAAGTATGTTGGTTATTGTCTATTAATACTTCATTTATTTATTTCTTTTTGTTAACTGTGATTTCTACTTTGACTTAATTATTTAACTAAATATCGGACACAAGACTTATTATATCATATATTGATTATTTTTATATCATAATTATAAGCTATATAAAAAATATTGTTTTTCCACAAAAAGAAAACATGTTACAAATGTTAAACTTATATAAGAAATTTGTATAGACTCAACAAAGTAAATTCACTAAAACCACAGTCAAAACACTTATTTATATATATATTTTTTTATTTTTTAATCTCGTCTTTTATCTTCATTATCAAGTTTTCATAAATCTTTAATATTTCAACTCCAAAATTTGTAAGAGGAAATAAATGTCAGAAGACATTTTAACATTTAAATAAGTAATGATGAGTTATAACATTCAAATTTTAAATTTATAATAAATAAAATTATTTATTTTTTTATCTTAAATTTGTATTTATAGATTTTAAGATGAATTTGAGATTAACACGTTCTAATCATAATTCAATACTCAGTAAATATGATTTACTGAAAATTTGATTATTAATGATAATTAAAGTTTTTTTAAAGTTTATGATCATTCGATCACTCCTAAAATACGATTGATTGGTCGTCGCAGCATGTTATTAATTATAATCTAAGAGACATATACTCCTCATCCGTTATTCAAGTAACCTACTCGTTATCTCCCTCTTCATTTGTCCGTTGTTTTTCTCCACAAATTAAAATAACATAGGATGTTATATCAAGTAATTTAAAAAAGAATGATTAAAAATTTTAATTCATCAAAAAATTATTTTTTCAAAAATTAATTTAAACTTACTTTATTTTGGTTATGTCAATTGTTAGTTTCATTAGATTAGATTATAATACCAGTACCTGTGTTTGTGGGTGTCTCTTCTATTTCTGCCTTGGTTACCTTTTCCCTCGTTCATTCTGGGACGTTTTATTTTATTTTACGTTTGCCTCTTCTCGATCATATAAATATAGCATTTAAAATAAAAATAAAATATATTATAAAACAAATAAAAAAACACGTGTAAATGAAATAAAAACATTCACGTGTCTACCTCTATTTTCTCCTCCAGGTTTATTGGGGGTTTATATAAGAGAAAAATTTGAATAAAAAAATAGTCAAATATAATTAAAGAAACAAGAGAAACAAAAATATATAAAAAAATACGTGGAAAATTACTTATAATCGTCACGATTCACATCCCCTTTATCAAATATCTTTCTCTAAACACGCTTACTTATATCTGAACAAATTCACTTCTCATTTTCATTGCTCTTATTTTCTCTCATTTATCTCTTTTCAAGCACAAAAGAACTAGAATCATACAACAAAGTAAAACAACACGATATATAGTTTTAATCATTACTAAAACGCAGATTATCCAAATCCTAAATGCATATTTGGATACACGTAATATTCACAACACACAAGTTTCAAAATTTCCTTATGAGAAAAATTACCACTGTAAAGATCTTTTACAAAATCTGCTTGATATTCTAGTTTTACGCAAACTAAACTTAAATTGTTTTTTAAAATTTGTAAGTAAATCCAAATTTAATTACAGAAAACCTTTAAGTTCCACTCTTTAATCTAAACAATGACTAAAAGAAACATTTGGCAGAAGATTTTTTTTATATTAATATCCAACAGTTATTAATCTTACGTTGAAATTCATAAAAACCACTAAACCATATTTAGTTGGTAATAATCAAAATATTTATCTTAATCATATTTTAGAAATTTAATTTAGATTTTCTTGTGACGTATTATAAATATATTTTATATACTTATGTTTATTTATGTTTTTTTTCAATGCTATAATTATAAAGGTAATTCTACAAAGTTGAGGTGTTATAGTATTAATTAGTAAACTATTACCTCTTTCAATGAAATATTTTCCGAGAAGGAAAAAAACTTGACTATAAATCATTTATAGAAAACTTTGATTTTTTAACATTATTTAAAAAAGTAAATAAAGCATTAAAAAACATATTTTCAGCTTCATGGAAAACTATTAAATTGCCCGTAAAATCTTAAAAAATTTATTAATGACAAACACACATTTTTAACATTAATGAACTTGTTTTTAAAAGTACTTAATTTCTCCATTCTGAAACGTAACTACGTGCTAATCTTCATTTCTAACAAAACAGATTATATGTTTTAGTAACATGATTTTAAAAAATCGAAATAGAATAACAATAAAATTAAAAAATGAAAATTCTTTTAAATGAAATTATTAACAAAGCAAACAATTTTAAATATAAATCAATTAAGTCTTAATTATTTATAAACTTGAGTATTTTTAATTAAAGTTTATTAAATTTTGTTGATTTATCGAGCATTTAAAGTTATTAAATTTTTCAGTTAAATTTTTTTAATTTTATTGCTATTAGAATAAGATTATTTTTATTTTACTTACTTGTTTTTATGAGTTAATAAAGTGAGATTTTATAATTTATATAAACAAGAACTCATTTTTATCAAGTCAAATTTAAAATAAAGTTAACAAAATGATATTCTAATATAATTTTCAACTAAATTAATAATAAATAAATTTTTACTTAACGTAAATTAAAATATATTTTTTTAGGAGAAGGATAAATAATTGTGGATGACAACCTGGATCAATGTGAGCAGACCAAAGCTAACTAGAGCCAACCAAAGTGGGACAAATTCCAAATGGGGCCATTCCTAACTAGTGGCGTCAAGAGCGTGGCCAAGTTAAAAAAAAAAAAAAAGAGAAAATTTTAAAAATGATGAGGTTTACAGTATTTTTTTTTAATTGTTTCAATTAAATAATTTTTTTATTTTTTATTCAAAAAGTTCAAATTGAGTTAGGGCATTCTCACCAACCAATGAGGTTTATAGTGATATTTCTTTTTTAAGGGGAGCTTGTGAGTAGGTAGGGCTAGGGAGGCCACGTCAGCACTGTTTGTGAGTTGTGTTGAGACCCAGAACTTTGCGTTTTCTTCCGCAGCCCACACAGAGTTTGCACCAGTGCTGCTGCTTGTGAGAGAGAGACAACGACTCTCTTCCACTCTTTCTTTGGCGGCGGCGGCGGCGCGTCGTTTTCTCTCGGCTTCACTCATAATTTCTTCTCTGTAAGGCTTCTGCATAATTATCTTGCAATCATTTCCTCCTATCATCATCACTTTTCAGATTTATTCCGTTTTTCCCCTACTCCTGATCTCTTGATATTGGTTTGCTTTCCACTCCGCGATCGTTTGTGCACGATACAGTTGTTTATTTTCGTTTGAGTATTTTGTCGAGCATCTGGTGCATATAAAATCAAAAGATGCGATGCGCAGTAGTTTGATTATGTAGTGTTTCTTAGCGAACTAGGGGAGTTTATGGAGAACCTGCAGTGCTTTATTTTAACATGGGCTGGTGGAGTATAGATTTTTTTCTTCTCTAGTTTGATTTTCCCGTGAAAATAACGCACTTGTTCTGCTCAAATTCACAATGTCAGTTTTGTGTGTCAAGTTTCTTCATATTAATTGCTTACGATAATATGAATGTCCTGGATTGGTTTTGTTGATTGTCCCGAAATTAACTTGTTGAGGCGAAATTGTCATCATATTGAAAAAAATAAACATCCCGTGGTTGCAGTGAAGGATTTAGGTGTCTCTTTTTCAATATAGCAGCGGTTTAGTTTGGGGTAGCTTGAAGGAGCCTAATGCTTTTCCACATGGGTAGTTTTCCAGTTTAGTATACCTCCGTTAAGTTTAGATTCCAGTCTAGTTTTCCTGTTTAGGTTCCAGCCTAAATGTATTCAATTTTGCCAATCTCTTCCCACGTTAGGTATCTCTTGTGCTTTTTTAGGGTTCTTGGTGCCGAAATCTTCTTCGTCATCAGCAGGGCAACTATTCCTGTCTAAATGGATTGGTTCACCTTATGCAATTCTCGCGCAAGAGTTTAGGGAGGGATTCACGAGTATCTCCGCATTACGGTTGGGAGCAGACACTATCCCTCATCCTCAAGTAATTTTGGGTGAAAGGGTTGGTTGTGATGATCCAACTACTCGGTCAGAATACGATTGGGGCGGTCCAATTAGAGTACAAATTAAAATTCATGTGCATTTTCAGCGGCTTCAACTTTGTCCTAAATCCTAATTCATCACAGGGGATTGCTTAGAGCCTTTTTTATTTTTATATCTTTTCCTGGATCAATTTATTGATTATGTTCATGGGTTACACCTAAATGGACAAGTATGCAGTAGTGCATAGTTGCATAAAGCTCATAGCTGATTCCACCACCCTTCCTGATAAACATCATATATTCATGGGAAGTCATAGGCATATGAAACATGAATCGAACAAGAGCTGAATCTCATCCGTGTCTTAAGTCATGAATATATTGATGAAAGATTTAAATCCATGATTTTTTATACAAAGAATTAAGAACAAGAATAGAATTAGTATCCAGCACAAGAATAAAACTAGGATTCAAATACACCAAATAGAATGGAGCTAAGAATAAACTAAACCGAACAAATTGAAATACAAGACATATGAACCTAGTAGAGAAGGAAATAACATAAATTATGAATAGAGTTGATTATAGAAGAAAGTGACTGAACAAGAACAACTAGAAAGAAATAAGAACTCAAGTAAATAAGGAAAAGATGGAGGAAAGTTAGATATGGAAGAAGCAAGGCGTGCTGCTTTGAATAAAATTCCATGCTCCTCTCCAAGATAAGCACCAAGGACGAATCACCACTTGACTTTCTAAGAATATAAGACTATCTAGAAATGGAATCGCACTTACAAGTGCCAAAAATCCTCTCAAGTGTTTCATATATCAAAATTGAGTTGCTAGAGGAGATGGTTATGATAAGTGAGTTATCCAAAAATGAAAATGAAATGTGAATCCTAATTCTAGACTAATATAATGTTTGGATGAGATTTTGAAATAGAAGTGGAGGGAAATTTGACCTTTGAAATTACATCCTAGGCTACTCTTGGCTTGGCTGAAAATTGGAGGCATCTCCTATACCTTAGTTATGCTTTTCTTGCTCCTGTGTAGCACATGCCTTCCCTACGTCTTATTGCCTCTCCATATAGCTCAATTTGACCGGAAATTGTTGTCCACATGGGCTTCAATAGAAGCCCAACTACAAACACGAATGCTGATTCTACCTAAAATTTGCAAAGAATTAAATCCTAATTTATGAGTTCGTGACATAGGAAATAAGAAACTATTTTTACAAGCAAGAATATTTTATCTTGTTGTGCACCTGTTTCTTCGAATGGTGTATTCTTGTTATTTAAATTTTTCTTTTTCTTCATTCATACATTTATCACTTCCACGGTGATATTATGATCTGACTTGTTGAATAATTTTAATATTAATCTTGTGTTACGTACACAATATTGCATTTGGATGTTTGCATACATTGGTTGCATGAGACAGTTATGCTACTCTAATTGGTTTACGTTCTCTATTTTGTTTTTCAGTTTTATTTCTGAAATTAACAATGAAATACAAACAATAATTGTGTCTCACAGGGTTTGGTGCATTTCATTCTGATTCATTATGGCCAATGGTCCGGCTCCGTTTTCTGATATTGGAAAAAGGGCGAGAGGTAAGTTTGCATTTGGAATCATATGATGTTAATTTGTGTTATGCCATGTTGGATTTTTTTGCCAATGGCTCTAGGGTATTTGTTAAGGGAGGCCGGGAATGGCAACTCCACAGGCTGCAATGGCATGAATATATGTTAGAATTTGACCTTCGGGCATCTGCCATTCATGACAAGGGAATCATATTATATTCATTTTTGTATGTCATTAAGCTGTAAATGATCTTGTTCCAATGTTAGTGAACAAGTTGTGTATAAAATCTAGATTGTTGGTTTCTCTATATTTCATATCAAGTCAAATCACATCTAAATTTTATAAAATATACCAGTGGCATTAAGTTGTAAATAATGTTGTTCCTATGCAGACCTTTTATACAAGGATTACAACTTTGACCACAAGTTTAGCCTGTCAATTCCAAACTCCACTGGATTGGTAATGCATAACCCACTCTGCTATTATTTCTTTTTAATTACTTGAATTATTTTAGGGTTCAGCTTTTCACTGCAGTTGATGGTGATATAAAATCCATTTTGCTTGAATATGTTGTAGTCTTAATCACACGCACAGTCAGTGACACAATAAAATTTCATCACATCCTTCTTTCATCTTTCTTTGTTATTCGAGTATTGAGTAAAATAAAGGAAGAGGAAGAATGAATAAATTTAGTATAATGCTTAGTTGACTGATGTGATGTCAATAAGTTATTAATTTGCATACCTTAAAAGCGTTAATAATTGTGTATAGTTATTTTTAGAGTTACACATGTTTTTAGTCGCTAAATTTAGACACAAAATTAGAATTCATCCATGTCTCAAACTTTGATGCATTATGATCTACAAGCTTTAAAAATGAATGAATATAGTTCTTTTAATCTAATGATAATAAATTCTTGGGCTTGTTAAACAGTTTTCCAGATTGACATTTGAGTTAGAACCTGTTAAACAATATAAACAACTCAAACACCAACATGAAACGTGTTTGACAGGTCAAAAAAGTTTAACACAATTGGATTAAAAGAACTATATCTATTCAGTTTCAAAGTTTAACCCTTATTTTTATTGCTATTCATATATCAAGAGTTGCAAGATAAAGTTAACCGCTGGATTCGTAGAGAACTATTATCTTTCATTGGGAATCATGCTTTACCTATCTAACATAACAAAAAAATATACTAAATTCTGAAGATATTAAGGAAATCATTAATAACTAACCATGTGTACTTACAAAATTTTACTTCAGTGTCAACTAAACTTCGTCCCAATAGGGAATTGTACTGCCAAATACAGTGCTGTGGGAGAGGATGAATATTGTTTTCTCCTTTCTTGAGCCAGTTGGCTTCAAAAAAGTCGGGAACTTACGTCTTGCAGTTCATGGTTTGTTTGCACATTCCTATGAGTGCTAAAGATGTTCACAACAAATGGAAACTTGTATTTTACCAAATAGGCTTAAGTTACTGGAACCCTTAGTCCATCATTCTGTCTGTATTGCCTAATTTCAGATTTTTTTTTTTCCATTTGGCAGGGGCTTGTAGCAACAGGATTGAAGAAGGATCAAGTTTTTGTTGGTGACATAAGTACGCTCTACAAGAGTGGAAATACTACAGTGGATGTGAAAGTTGATACATACTCTAATGTAAGTAATAGAGTTCTACTTCTACTCATATGTATATACATAATGTTGCTGCCATTGTTTTGACAATCGGACAGGATGAGTCGGTTGGACCAGGAACCATAGTAGTAATTCGTCCGGTCATTATATAAAACGGGAAAATTTTGTAACCCGTGAGAACTAGCCAAAACCCTATGCAGTGAACTAATTTGTCCCGGTTAATTTAAAAAAGCATATTTTTTTAATCTTGAAAACTTTTAAAATTTAAAAGTTTATAATAAATAATAAGTCATATTTAATGAGATTTAAAAATTGATGAGTTATTTTATCCACTATTATTTTTTTGTTATATAACATATAATTTAGTCATGTATATCAATTTATATTTTTAATACATTATTTTCTTATAATTTTATATTACATTGAAACTTATTATTGTTAATGAATATTATTGTATTTAATTAATTTAATATACTTATTATGATATTTTTTTATTTGGATTTTGTTATTTATTTTGAATATTACGAATTAAACAGTGATATATTTTTAGTTTTTAACATAATAAAATTATTTTATTATATTTAATAATACTAATATATTATTTATTAGAACCTGTTCAATTACGCTTAAACCATTGAGTTTTGAACAAGTGTCTTGACCTGTCGGATTTTAAAAACACTGGTTGCTACTTCTAATAGTTTAAATTTGTTCACGACTAATTGTTTCTAAAAGTTCAAGCTTTCTAAGATGTGATGTAAACTGAAAACAGTCGCTTGCATTGTTGAAATTATGGGGTTTTAGGTACATTGCGACGAAGATAAATACATCATAATATTTTGGATAGTATTGTATTGACTACTGCAATGAATAGCAGTATTTAAACTAATGATAATCCTAGGTAAATAGGAATCGAATGACGAGATGAAAATATGGCAATCAACCTTGAGAGATATGACTAAGATATAACAATGTAGAGTATAATATTTTATATTTTCTAACTAGTTGAACCTACCATGATGCTTTCTCTGATTTACCTTTCCAGGTATCCACAAAAGTTACTGTGAATGATATCTTGCATGGTACAAAAGCTGCTTTGAGCTTCAACATACCTGATCACAAGTCAGGGAAGGTGGGTATAATCTTGATTTCCCAGAGCTAGATAATGTTAATGCATGATTTACAAGACTGAATTAAGTAAAGCATTGCATTCTTTTACTCCTGAAAATATTTTAAATGTTACATTTGATCTTTACACTTTGGGGATTTCATAAATATAATGACTCTGCTAGAGCTTAAAGCATAGAAGAAGTAAGCCACGGATTTATAGTAAAAGTTTCATCTAAATAACATTAGACAACAAACGGGAATGCATTCCTTATTGCGTTGAGTTATGCTGAAAATCATGTGGTTGGCATATTGTTCGATACAGTCTGTTGACTTGATTGAGATTGGTTCCAATTAGAAATATCAAGTTAATAAACTTGTGCACCAGACCATCTAATTTTAAGGAAGAATTCTTTCTATTTTCTCTTTTAGGGGGAGGTGTGGTAGAGACGTTCTCTATTATCTTATGGTAACCATTTACCTTACCAGTAAGGATTTAGAGTGGTAACAAGGATAAGTTGATTTTATTTGGGAAGTAGCTTGGTAAAGCCTGTAAACGGTCGCTCCAGTTCATGGTGGGGCTGTGGCTATTAATGTTTGATTGTTTGTCCTTTCTAAACTCTGCAATAATGGGAGCCTCCTGCAATTGGCCATCCTTTTTTAAGCTTGGCAATATGTAAGCAATGGATTCTTCTTATAACGCATCTTACCGTGCTATATTATCTCAGCTGGATGTGCAATACCTTCATCCTCATGCCGCCATTGATTCTAGTATTGGTTTGAATCCATCCCCTCTATTGGAGCTTTCAGCTGCAATTGGCAGCAAAGATCTTTGTCTGGGTGCTGAAATTGGATTTAATACAACTTCTGCTTCGTTCACAAAATATAATGCTGGAGTTACCTTCAATAAACCAGATTTCTCCGCAGCACTTATGCTGTAAGTAATGTTGTTGCACATTTCCCGTGTTCAGTTTATGTTATAGTGTCTTGTTATTATGTCTTTCATTTACCTGCTTTTTTGTTTATTCCTTTCTCTGTTTTCTAACCTTATATGTGAAGACCTATCAGAAAGCCTAGATAAAATTTTAAATATTATAAACATTGCAATAATTTATAGTTAGCGTTAGACATACAGTCACGTAATATTTTTCTGAAATAATGTTTGTTATTTATTTATTTTGAGAAAGGAAAAAGTAAGCTAGAAAGGAGCAGCACATATAGGGAGCAAACATGCATGTTGAACCTTTTGAGAATCTTCTCAATATACCTTCTTATTGTGAATTGTCACGTGACCTATCGTGATAAATATGAATGCCTAAAACATTTAATGAAGGTCCTTCATGTCAAAGTGGCTGTATATTATTAATTTTCTTAGCCAATAGGTTCAACAAATTGCTAGCAAGAAGAATGTCATGGACTTGTAAGATGGGAATTACGAAATTGTTCCCACTAATCTTCAAGTAAATGCGCTTGTCTACACCATTTTCCTTAAAGCTAAAAGAGGTGATGATCTAATCAAACCTCAGAAGTCATTGTCTGGTTGTTTGTTTTAGTCCTCATAATTTGTCCACCATTTAGATTCTTACAAAATTAGGGAAAAACTGAACATTACAACAGGAGGGAAACATAATATGATTTAAAGGGAAAGTTTAGTCAAAGAAAACCCCTGAGCAAAATAAGATGTAATATAACTTATATCACAGATATCCTAACAAACAAGTATACGATGCCAAAAATTGGTTAACTTAAGCGAAGGAAAGCATATTCTACAACAACAAATCACACTAACAACAATATATGGATAAAGAGTAATTATTATTAATGTAATATAAAAGTTTAAAATAATCACTATAAAGATATGATATTTTATTGTTTAACTAATACTTAAATTCTTACTATTATACCAGGATAGATGCGTTAAAGTAATGGAAACTAAGAGAGATACACATCAGAGAATGATATTCTAAGCCATGCACAATTATGAAATATCCTCAAATTAATTCCTCTATTGAAGGATAATACTATGGAATTTTATGTTCACAAAAAAATAAATTAATATAGAGAGGAAATCACAACTTTGAAGCTCAAACCTAAAATTCACATAACAAAGATTCCATAACAAATTGTGCTGGAACTGATGTGGAACTGGAATCATTTTACTCTGTGATAACGTATGTTTCATGCCGACAAATTGTGTTGATCTTTGTTTTGTTATAACTCATGAAATATGATAAATCCAATGATTCCATAAGTAGTCACAAATTTGAGGTTCTAATCCTTATGAGTGTTTTATACCCTTAAGATTAGGGTTTTATACCATCGAGTCATTTAGCATACTTAAAATATAACCTTTTAAATTAATAAAGTTCGATGGTAAAAGATAATTCCTTTCACAAATTGCATATGAATTTCATAAAACAACGAAAGCTTTGTTTTTTTTTTTAAATAAGGGTTCATGATAAACTGTAGACTGTGTCTAAATGGCTCTCATATCAACTGATGGAATTTTATAAAACAATATTAACTGATAGTGTTTAGAATGTGAAAACAATGCAATTCTAGAATAATTGGTAATGAATGCATATCTGAAATCACATTCATCTCTATGAGCACTACGGAATCTTTGTTTTCCTTGAGGGTTTCTTGTCCAGCTTCTAAGGAGTTGTTGTAGAGATTGTCCCATTCAGATATTTGTATACATAGATAGGATAATAATCATATCTCAATTTATCAGATGATGATTAAAGATAAAATGATGATGCTATAATGATAATTATATCTCTAATTGTAATATATTGACAAGGATAATATTTGATAATTATTCCATCATTAATTTAACGTTGTGTACTTTAAATTTCCTATGAACCTTGGGTTATTTCAATAGTTTATTGCTATGTCTACGATTTATGTGGTTGAAAAGACGGTGATTTTTAGTGATTTTTTAAGGCATGGGTATTTGTTAAATGATTAATTTATGTTTTCTTTTATTGACTTTTTTTCATTTTCGTTCGAAAGTGGAGAAGTATTTTTCTGGAAGCTACACGATATTATTCTAAACTCTAGTGTCGGAGTACAGTATATAAAATTCATTTATTAGTGACATTTAAATTTAATCTTTTTCGGGGAGTTCTTGATGGATACTATGGAAGATAGATTTGTTACTAAAAATAATGTACGGGTGGTATGGTATCCAAACTTGTATGTGCTTATGATTTCGTTCCAATCTTTCAGTCTCTTCTGCTTAGATTTTGTGAATATGTCCTTCTGCAAAAGCTTTTTGTTCAGTTCAAGAATTATGTTCATCTGCTTTGTTAGGGTATATGTTTAACATCATGTCATTAACTCACTATGCAGGGCTGATAAAGGACAGACCCTGAAGACATCTTACATTCATTATGTTGATCGCCCCGATGGATTCACAGTTGCTGCTGAAATGACGCACAGGTTTTCCACCTTTGATAACAAATTTACTATTGGGAGCTCACAGTTAATAGATCCCAAGACAGTTTTGAAGACTCGGTTCAGTGACGATGGCAAAGCAGCCTTTCAATGTCAACGAACATGGAGGCCAAATTCACTTATAACTCTGTCTGCTGAATATGACTCCACGAAGATCTTTAGTTCATCCACCAAGTTCGGTCTTGCTCTTTCTCTGAAGCCTTAACTTGGCCATCCTATTAAATCTGATTCGGTGACTTCAACCTTTACCGCTATCATTTTTCATTGTTTCCAAAACCCGTAGTTGGTTGTTTTAAGCCCCCTATCATAAGGTAAACCAAAGAAACTAGTAATATTTGTGAATTCTAAAGCGGCACAGGGAAGGAGGACCCAGTTTTGAAATACTTACATAATGGCTAGAGGGTGTTGTAGCTGATTTGTGATACTACCATCCAGGATCTAGCATATGATTTTGGGGCCAAATTCTATAATTTGATATAGTGACTCATTTCATATTATTTTCGCAGTAATATCTTCTCAAATGGCACCCCTGTTACCGTTCCATTTCGCCAGGTCCCTCATCTACCCTTGGGAATAAAAACTATAAGTGTTGCAAAACTATTTTTTTGGCTATCCTGAGCAATTGAATCATTGCAAGTTAGATTAAATATAATTTCCGTGTCTAGGTTGAATTTAGCAAGAGGAATTAATAGTTGAAACGTTAAATTTTACATGTTCATTTATTTGGATTTTCATCTGTACTTTTTAAACCATGACCGTTGAAATGCACAACATTCACTGTGAACAATGGAAATCGAACAAGTGAATGTTACCGTGGTGACAAATTTGAGAAGTGTTTAATTAATTTTATATAATATTACATTGACATAAGACTTGCTAGGACTACTAATTTTATTTCTTTTTGTCTTGCAACGATACCATTTCTAAGAAACCTAATAGTGACAAGTGTACTATCAATTTGTTTCTCATAAGTTTGATCTGAATAATAATTCTTTTCAAAATTAGTTCCACTTTTAGTTATACTCGCAAATAAATAAACAAGATATTGAAGTCAAAAAATAAGAGAAGTAATGGATATAAGAAAGAGTTACTAATAACTTTAATATATATTAGGAGTTTGATCACTATTATTTATGTGTAATATAACCGCAGATGGAAAAAAATAGAGAATGTCAGCCTTCATTCATATATAAATTAAAAAAAAAATATGTAATTTGCTTGAGCATAGAAGCTTATGCATTGAAAATAGACAGTGCGAAAAAAACAAACAATAATTTTTTTTTAAAGAAAAATGACTGAAACTTAGGATCTAAGAAATGAAAAAGGAGAAGGAGTTTACTCGCAATAAAAACAAATCCAAATATAGAGCGCAAAGGCATTACTTGTTTCTGAATAAAAATATTCTTATTCAATCTCCCAATTATAAATAATTATATATAATAATAGTTAAACTTTTATAATAATGACTTCAAAATTTATACAAATATAATTTTATTATTTAGTTGTCATAAATTTTACTTCCAAATTTACAAACTTCCCTTCCAAATTTACTCTCGCTTACCTACAAATCTATTCAAATAAACAACAAAAAAATTTTACTTCAAATTCTTTCAATTAATTTCCACCAAATCCATTTAAATAAAAAACCTAAAACTCGTTATTCCTGTGAACGAAACAATAAATTAATCCGTCTATCATTCATTAGATTTCTTCTACCTTTAAAAAAAAAAACAACAAATTACGTGTTTTTAAATTAAAATGTTTATATATTATCACTCAATCTTTTATTTTTATATAATTACTTCAAAAGTTCTCTAAAAACATTAATTACTTAATAGAGACAAAAAAATTAAGCTTATAAACAACTCATTATTTTTTGAGTTTGTAATGAAATATAATCTTATATCTTTCCTCGAAAAAACAAAATATAACACTTTATTATTAGCAGATAAAGAAAATAACACTATTATTAGATCTGTCGTTTGCACGCGAAAAATGAATAAATATAAATACGCATTAAATACAGAATTACATTTGTTGAAAAAGAAGAAGAAAAGTGAGAAATGTAACGATAATAATAATAGTTTATATGAAGAAGAAATATAAATGAAGAAGGAAAGAATAGAATAAGTGCAGTGATCTTTGTGCGTGTGTTGTTGTTGATCTTGGTTGGGTGTGAGTCTTGGGTGTGAAAATGTCGCACAGCGATACCATACCTCTTCACCCATCTTCCCAATCCGACATCGACGAGATCGAGAACCTCATCAATGCCAGCGTTCACCAATCAGTCCCTCCCGCACGCCCTCCAAGTCCCCCACGCGCCTCCATCCCGGTCTCCGTCTCCGCCGCCCCTTCCCCCTTCATTTCTTCCAACCTCCCTACGCCGCCGACGGTCCCCAAATCCTCCTCTTCCGCTCCTCCCCCTCCCCCACCTCCGCGTTCCGACATCTCCGGGTTCGGACCCGCCCCCAACACCCTCACAGAGCCCGTATGGGACACTGTGAAGCGCGATCTTTCGAGAATCGTGAGCAATCTGAAGCTGGTTGTCTTCCCTAACCCTTACCGCGAGGACCCTGGTAAGGCACTCAGAGATTGGGATCTGTGGGGCCCTTTCTTCTTCATCGTCTTTCTCGGCCTCACCCTCTCTTGGTCTGCCTCTGTCAAAAAGGTATATATCTATTTCTATCTTCGTTGTACTCTTTCTTCCTAATTGGTAGGGTTTGCAATTCAGATCGCAAATCGCACTTTGCTGATCTGTCGTCATCACCTTCTGATCTACTTTTAGTGGCTAGCTCAGCTGAAATTTTCGTGGTTGTTAAGTGGCGTGTCTCTGGATAGAATCGTTGGGTAGAATTCACTTAGGAGTTTCACTTTGTGCCTGATCTTGATCGTATTGAAATGTGTACTACAATCACTTGGCTTTAAGGCTTCAAGTATTGCTCTCTGTGTTTGATTGTAAATATTTGGCGGAAACATAGAATGAAGAGAGCGAATGTATGCATGTCTACGTTCTTTAGTGCCATTTCTGGTGTTTTGTTTCTTTGCTGTGTAGTTTGATCCTTTCTTTTTGCTTACATTATTTTGCATTATGTTACAAATCGAATTGTGATTTATCCTTTCTTAATTTAAGTTGATGGTTGTGATTGTGCCTGTTGGGTTTCGGTCATCTCTGTTGATCGATTGTGTGAAAATAAATTGGTGCGGTATAAATCTAGTTTCTAAACATATTCTCGCAGTGGCACAGTACATTATTTTGGTGTTGCATTAAGCCAATGGTCATGAACCGTGGTGCTGTTGATTTGACATTCTCTAACCAGCATTTTTGTCTATTGGTTTGCTGCACGTGTACAACATATGTGGCGTGGAGCAACATTTCTACCAAGTGTTTTTCTTTCCTAAATCATTCTGCTTCAGTTTTCCCAATTATAAATTCTTCATTACGATGGTAGAATTGGGCTTTACATAAATCATGAATTGGGATGTCTATTTTCCAAAGCGTAATCAAATTGTACTGTTTATCTTAAGATTCATGACCAATGGCGGAAAAACATGACTCGTAGATCATTTTACCGTACAGAAACATGAAAAATCAATACACACGTTTATGCTGACATATAAACTTCGAGATATTTTTTATTTTATTTTCAAAATATCTTGATAAAATTAAATTTGATTATAATAATTATAGATTTCACTTTTTGTTTTATTTTTTCTGTATTTTGATTTGATTAAAAGAGATTAGAGAATCATGTGTGATTAGAGGGTCCGAGATATAATTCTGACTATCCAAAGTTGAAAAAAAGTCTGTCTTAAAACTATAACACAAAAGTTGCTTAAGTAAAGAAAAAGTACGTTTTTGTTACGGGTTAGGGTTATGAATAGGGCCGTCTTTCTTTTCTGATCCACTACAGCCGTGAGTGCAATAGAATGTGTAGAACTGCAGTGTGACATTATTTGCCTGCTGTAGGTGCCATTTGTTTTTTGGCTGTGAAAAGTATCATTAACCATTACGTCTTGATGTGGCACAATGACTCTTAGATAGAAAGGGGCTGCAGCCCGCTATGGAAGAATAGAAAAATTTGTATGGGAGATTTGATTCACACTATTCATGTGCTACTGAGGCACAGAACTAATTCAACCTACTATCTCTATCACCAAGCTGATGAAACATATTGTATCACTCAAATGTATCGAGAATCATTATCCAAAGTAAGGGTTGGCATTTGTGATTCCCTGAAGAGCTGAGGTAGTCATATGTTTGGGTTGATGAGGTTTCTAGTGAGCAAATGGCATGGAAGTTAGCAGTTTTTGTATTCAGGGGCTGCTTATTTTAGCTTACTTTCTGTTTGTTATTCATAAAAACAGTAGCTGTGATAGATGCTAGTAAGAGCTGGTATTGGCTGTACAAGTCTGAGATATCATTAGACATGCTATTGGTATTAGAGAAGAGCATCGAACTTTTAGGATAGTGAGTGTTCAGTATGGCATAACGTTGTTAGTTGTTGGTGGTTTGAACTACATTTTGGTTTCTAGCAATAGAATTTTTCTCTTCCCAATAGTAAAATAATTTGTAATGATTTATTTTTCCTTTTTATGGTAAGGAGTAGTTAAATTTCGGTTTGTAAATTATTAATTTATAGAGGGTGATGTTTTATTTACTGGTAAGTCCATGGAGCCAACAGTCATTTGTAAAAAAATATATGGCTGTTGGATTCAGTTAACTTTGTATCAGGGTTTAATTTCTTAACCCATTCCCTTAGTCATTTGAGCTATATGTTCTACCCATAATTGCATCTATAAAAATAATCTTTCTCTTCTCTATGACATGGTTGCAGTAGAGTGCTATTACAGGAGTGTGGAGTGTCCTTTGTGCCACTATGGAATTCAATTAGTGGAGCAGTTTCAATAGTGACCAATGCAGCGTCTTTTTGTGTTCTATAACGGCACTGTCATGATATAGGCTTCGAAACCCCATTTTTACCCCTTGAATAGCATTGTTTGGGCTTTTTTTGGGTAAAATATATCTCAAAAACTTACTTCTATATTGTCCTCTATTCCTTCACACATAATTGGACTATCTTTAACTTGTCACATTCGTTCTTCTCCCTTTCAGACTTCACATTCTACAATTCTTTTTTTATTGAATTTATTGTGTTCTTGCTCTATTAGTTTCACTAAGTTACTTCTGTTTTGACCTCTATTCTTTTGCACAATGAGATTTAAGATTATAATTTTTTTTATCTAATTTGTAATGTTCTTTTTATATTTATTTCATAATCGTCTTCTAGTTTATTGGCTTCACCACTATTTCTTATTGCTCTTGGATTGATGGTGATTGTGTGTAGACTTTGACATTGTATTTCATGAATTCATATGCTTTGTTTTGCAATGAGTAATTGTGTGTAGTATGAATTATTTAGTTTGTATTATAATATTTAAAATAGTGGTCATCTTGCGTCTTGCTTTAGTGTTTTCAGACTTAGTCACTACATGCCTGCTGCAATCTGAGATTGATGACGGTACTCCGTGATTCTAATAAA